GATTTGCCACCAGTTGTTGAGTTTAGGGGCTGATCTGCACCTTTTGCCAAATCTAACAAGACATTCAAGAATCACTATACAAGTAGTCCCCAGCTGGCGGCTGCTGCAAATATTTCACCTTTTTTAGAAGGTAGAGTACCTAAATCTAGCCTTAAAATTAGGCAATAGGAGCAGATTGACCTTCAAGCAAAAAATAAGAATAAATTCCCTCACAAAATTTTTTATTTTGACAAATCATTCCAAATTTAACATATGGTATCCAATGATATTAGTAATTCATTAATTTGTTGTGTTGCTAAAAAGTTTACTATTAACCAATTGCTAACGTCACATATTAAAATTAGGGTAATTTATCCAAATTAAAAGCTTTATGAGTGAATTTGTCTCTAATTTTTTATTCAATGGTGGATTTATGCTTATTACTTACCTTTTGGGGTGAATTTAGGCATTATGCCTTTTTAAAATTCACTTGTGCTTTTCTACTGCTCATGCACACTCCCATGGGTTAATCACTGTTCATTAAATGAATAAAAGCAATTTGATGCTCTATTGGCATGGCTATTTCCTCTATGATCTACGGAGTTTTTGGGGGATCCCTGTTACAGGACAGAGATTCTCAAAATACTTCTCTTTGTAAAGTGGGGATGGAGGCAATTTTTTCTTTGTAAAATTTCGCAACGAATTCCCTCAGTTCCATGATCAACCAAGGAATCATAAACTAATAAAAAAATTATAAATTATATTTTTATAAATTATAGTAAACCAAAATATCTTAATTCTCAAACCCACAAATCCTAACCACAAACACTTTGACTCTTGCATCTCTCCTCTCTACTACTACCTTAGTTCATCTAAGGATAACAACATGTCCCCACGAGGGCAAGGACCCCCTCCCCATCCCCATTTTCGCCAGTGGTGGGTACAAGGATCTCCATGAGAATTTTTGGCAAGGGCCAAAAATGGCTTCCATCCCCATACCGACAGGGAATGATAGGTTCCTGTGGGTATGCAAAGTCCTCGCCAAGTATTCAATATATAGAATTTAATCTCTTTTTTTTTTTCTTGATAAATAAAAAATAAAAATTTAAAACAACCCAAACAAGTAAATATATTAACATACAGTGCAACAAAACAATATGTAGTAGTTGTGGCAAATACACATTGCCATATGCATTCGACAAGTCCAGCGGCAAGCTCATAAAAAAAAATGCATGAACTACCATACATGTCTAGGTGGGGTTAGGTTATTGAATTGGGTTTGGGAAGACTGGAACTAGAAAAGGAATTAGGCTAGGCAACTTAGGTTGGGTTGGGTTAGCCAATTGGGTTAGGTGAATAAAAATTAATTGGTAATATATTTACAAAAATATATAAAAGAATAAATTTATATTTTTTTATTATGTATGAATCCCCAAGGGTTTCCACAAGGAAAAAGAAATTCCCCACGAAATTTCATAAGGAAAAAAATGCCTCCATCCCTACTCCACAAAGAGAAATATTCTTGAAATCTCCATTTTCACGATGGGAATCTTTGTAAAGCTCCACGGGTCTTAGAGGAAATTGTCATATCTAAGTTCATCCTTACCTCTTTGTTTAATGGGTTTCTCTTAATTTACATTTTGTTTACTTTATTTATTTATTTGTTAGGCAAAACTTACTTTATTTTGTTTAATTTGATTCATTTTCTAAAAGAAAAAAGTTAGAAATAACTAATTTTTTAAATTGCTTTTGGACTTTTTTCTATAAACTAAGAATTGAATAAATCAAAGTATTGTTGTATATTGTTAAAAAATATATATATTTTTGTATACTTTTGCAAGAATTCTATACCGACGGGAATCCCTTATTCCTTGTGAGGATGAGAATGGAAGACAGATTTTACCCTTTATTAAAAATTTTTGCAAAGATCCCCGTATCTACCAATAATAGAGACAGAGATGGAGATAGGGCTGGAACTCGTTGCCATCCCTAATGCTCTAGACACAAGCCAAAGAAAAATCTTCATTTGAATCAAATAATCATCTTATCTTCGTGCACCTTAGCTACCCCAAATATCAGATTATTCCTCACAAAACGCCAGTGCTAGTACCTCCCTCTCCATGCCAACTTTAAAAAAAAAAAAAAAGAAAAGAAAGAGAGAGAGAGAGAGAGATAGACAACCTGGGTATTATTGAATTATCCAAA